GGGGTACCTGACACAGCCATGCCCTGGCTCATGCTGTATGCACCCCCAGTATTCCACATGTTCTCAGAGGGGGAGGAGTAATGAGAGCCAGGGGGAGGAGTTGGGTTCGCTCCCGTGTACCTGAAACACACAGCACCCAATGAGTGAGCACCTGCCGGAAAAAATCCCACTGTCAACACCAATTGTGCTGCCCATGCAGGGGGAGCCCCCCTCCCACCAGCAGCCCCACCTGAAAAAGGGGTTCTTGAGGTCCAGGAGGTTGCTGGATTTGGAGCCCGTCTGGTCGACCTGTGCAACGATGCTGATGTCGTAACTCTGTCTGCGAAGGTAAAGAGAAGCCAAGGTCATTCTGGACTGTTGCACCACAGAATAAAGGGCTCAGGGTCAGGTGACACTGGGTGACGCCTAAATCCTGTTCAATACACTCAACCATATACTCATTCACAGCAAAACCTGCAGCACCCTGAAGAGTCTGCAGAGACAGAGCGATCAGTCAACGGGTGTCTGATGACACGGTAACCCCGAAGAAGGGTCAGGTTTCTCGGGGTGTCCTCAGGGCACGGCATGCGCAGCCGAGACTAGGAGCCCTGGTTCTGGCCCGCCGGCCTTACCTCTTGTTGGCGATGAGTAGGGCGGTGCCAGACAGCGTGTCACCCGCCTTGGCGAAGAGAGGCGACTGTAGGAGACAGCGGACCTGGTACCAGTGGGTCAGCGGTTCCGTGGGCGCTGTGGACAGCCATACTGTCATCCTGGGAGGGGGTGAAGGAGAGAGAGTGGGTCAGAACCAAACTTTTAATACAATGTGGGCATGGAGACCCCCAGGCAGTGGGGCTGGACGCTGAAGGAACCAGTGTGCAAGGGAATAGGGTCTTAGCTAATGAGAGGTCTTGGTTAATTCCCCAAGGCTGACCAAACTGCATAACGTTCTGACTTTGTTAAACCTTACATGGTAAACTGGTATTGACCAATCATAAATGTACGTTTCTGTATGGAAATTTTACTCCTCTTCGAGAATAAAAGCCTGGTGCTGTCCTCGCGAAATTGAGCGAGAGACGAGGTTAACCCGTCAACGTCATCTGCCCACCTTCCTTTATTCCAAAGACGAAATCTCCGTCTTGGTTTGCCGGGAGAAGGGTCTGAGAACAGGAAGTACTCACATTGAGCCGATGAACGCCACGTCGAACCAGAAGGCCAGCCCGTGGACCAGCCCCGAGTGCATCATGTGGAATTTGAACGGGATCTCTATCCTGAGGGAGAGGCCAAGGTAAAAATAAAAATCAGCCATGATGGAACACTGTGACCATCCACCCGCACGCACCGAACTGCACGCAAGACACAAGAGCAGCCTTCCAGCTTGTAATAATGAACAGCTGTCTGTACTGAGGATCTCATCCACACACTTCCTGAAAGAACCCAGGGTATCTGCTTCAACAGCAGGGCTGAGCAGTGTCTGTCCCATACCCCCACAACCCTTTGTGCAAAGGGGAGCCTCCCGATCTCAGTTTTATATGCACTCCTATGTAGTTTTCACCTGCGTCCTCTAGCCCATGTTTCACTGTTTGTTCTGAAGAAGTATTTTGTTAACTATCAGATTATTTTTTTTAATTAAATTTCTCCTCACAGTCCTTTCTCCTCAAGACTAAAGAGACTCAGTTCCTTCAGCCTGTCAGTGAGGACACCGCCTTCAGACTTAAGAGACTCAGTTCCATCAGGCTGTCAGCCTAGGATACTCCAGTAAATCCAGGAATGTATTTGATGGACAGGGGCAATTCACACCCAGTGTCACCCTAGTGACTTACCTGTGTAGGTCATCTTCTTTCGCATCCAGGAAGTTTACTGTGTATTTCACGGATTTGGCCATCAGGATTCGGATATCAAAGGTGTCCTGGGAGAGAGGGGAGGGGGAAGAGAGAGAAACATGTTCCTGAAGCCATAGAGAGACGAGATCTGAGGTCTCCCCCGGTTGTCCCAGAAATACTGCCTCAGGTCCGAGAAAGACCGAGTGTCCATCTACACCAGGAGCGGCCAACCTGTCCTGTCCTGGACAGCCACCATCCAGCAGGTCTCACCGATCCACCCGTTATAAAGATCTGGAACGTTCAATCTGAGTTCGGATCGATTCACCAAGTTGATTCGCTCAGGATCGGTCACAGCCAAGATCCTCACTCAGCGATTTCCATTTCAAATAATCACCAAACTACGTAATTGAGCAAGTCGCCTGCTTAAGTGGTTAAATGATCTTAGCGTTTACAAGCCCGGGGTTCAAGGATGATGCAGGACTGGGGCTCTCCAGGGGCCAGGTAAGAGGAGCCCCAGGAGTTCGGACCGGAAAGCACGGCGCCCTGATACAAACTCGGGGCGACTGCCTCTTACCACGATGGGCTGGCGGAAATACTCGTCCACGGCCGCGCCCCGGAGCGCTGACAGGTCCACTCCGTGGAAGGAGGGCTGGTACCTGCAGAGACAGGGGTGGCACAGGGTCTCAGCACAGAGGGCAGGGCTGACGGCACCACAGTACCGCACCCTCAGATCCCCCCTCCCTCACCAGAAGTTGGCCTTGGTGAACTGCTCCATGTACAGCTGCTCGTCGGTGAAGGGGGCGAGGTGCACGTCGCCGATCGTGGGGAACAGGTTACCTGCGGGCAGAGGGAGGGAGATCAGCCGGACGAGTCGCCGAGAACTGACTGGGCTTTACACCCAACGCAGAGCTCCACTGACACAGAGCTCCAGACCAGAGAGAGGCAGTCTGAGGGTTAGGGTCTGTCAGACAGGAAGCACAGAGCAGAGAGAGAGACCGGGGACAGTCTTAGGGTTAGGGTCTGTCGGACAGGAAGCACAGAGCAGAGAGACCAGGGACAGTCTGAGGGTTAGGGTCTGTCTGACAGGAAGCACAGAGCAGAGAGAGGGACCGGGGACAGTCTGAGGGTTAGGGTCTGTC